TAAAATTATCATATTTTTATGAGTGTAAATTCTTATAATTATGAGATTTAATTTTTTTTTCTTTTATGTGAGATTTTAAAATAATTATTTTACTTAATTATATAAGTTTTATGTTTCATAATTTTTTTAGTTTAATTTTTTGTCTCATACTTTGAATGATAATATTATTATTATGTTAATTTTATTAAATTTAAATAATACTTATTATTTATTACGTCATCCGGTTCGACCTCGGTTAGACCGGTCGAACCGTGAACCTCTCCTTCTTCCGGTTCGTTGTCCGGTCCGGTTTTCAGAACCTTGAAGAGGAGTGGATGTGTATTTGGATGTGGCGGTAGTTAACAAATGTGGCTGGTTTGATTGTAGAGTATTTGAATCCTTGGAAGAGTAGTCCTCCAAAAGAGAAGGATTATAACTCCATCCAAAAAATATATTAAATACTTATTTTTTTTAAAAAAGATTAAATGCGTGAAATTTCTGAGTGATTTGAAACATTCATATTAAATTCCAATTTACGCTTATTTCTTTGAGCTACTAGGATACATAGTTTATTGTTATACTTGTTTCTATTACTATGGTTCTTATTAGTCTTGCAGCTTCCAAAGTCAACTCATTAACTGAAGTTGCAAAAGCTACCTACTAATTCTAATAAATTGCTGAACTTTTCTAATGGTGATGGTGCAGCTCATTGATGTGCTTTGTTCTGCTGCTATATGGATTTGTCCAAAATACTATTGCTAAAACTGGCATGTCAGAGCTACATATAATTTGCTCGCTCTTATATGACATGGTCCCATTAATAGTTTCAAAATGTTTTGTGCGCATTCCTTTATTTTCAATGCTGATTATTACCCTTCAGAAAAGCTTTCTCTCTAGCTAATTAGCTTACTTCAATCAAATTTGCAGTTCTAATGCTAGCTTCTTCTTGCCAACACTTTTTTCAGTCAAGGAAGATAGTTGATAATAAATTTGACAAGCTTCCTATGCACGGACATGGAAAAGACTATACTAGTGCTTGGTGGAAATCATTGGCTGGCCTTCTTATTGCTCATGGTACACTTAAGTGTTAATTAGCATCCTTATTTAGAATATGCCTTTCTTAACTAAAAATAATGCTTAACTTTTTTGTGCACCATAAGGATTGTTAAATTAGGCTACCAATCCACACTCCCTTTCTTTCCAACATGTTATTCCTTCTGAATCCTTTTTATTAGATTATGTTTTAGGATTTCTAAGAAAAGATCACTGGCCTTACTGTTCAAACTTCAAACAGAATTATCAAAACTTTGGTACTTCTAAGTATTATGATTTGGTCTATCTTAAAATCGCAATCTATCCTTGAGTTTCAAGGTAACAGCATATATTATTGACGATATTTTGGCAATATTTTGTTAATTTTTCTTAGAATGTGTTATCTAGTTTTTATATCTTATTTTTCTACTTTAGGGGTTGATTGTCATAATATGAACCTAAAACTACTACTTCGTGTCTAGTTCATGACTGTCATGATCACTTTCTTGTGTTTTGCTTTCCAAAGCATCTCTTTGAGGTTGTCTAATGGCAGGGCTTCATTGTTTTGATACATAACACCATGTAATAAGTTGCTTGATGGCAGACTGCAGTAGTTTCTGAAATTTTTGTCAATCTTTACTTCAGCCATGCTGATGCAGGATAGCCGGGAAGGATGAAAGGAGAGGAGACTGAAAAACAAAAGAGAAAAAAAAATACTGAAACAAATTGATTGGGAGTGATTTCCGCAGGTTCTTAAAGCATATCACAATTTTTTGAAGATGATGAGGCCATCAGGTCCATCACATTGATGAAGGGAATGCGATAGATTAAGTGAAAGAGGATGGGTATGTTAGACAGGCTTCTGGACTGTGAGGCGGAACAGGCTTCCGCATGTTTAATTGAGGTGGGGCCCAGTAGTCCAACAATTAAGAGGAAATTAAAGAGGGGATTAGAGGGGAAATTCAAATTAGTAGGGTTGTTTTGGCATTAATTATATTTTGTATGCTTTAAATATATTGTTTAACCTTGGATAGGTTTTAGGGGTATTTATTGAAATTTGGAGTATTCTTAGGTAGTTTTTGGCTCTACCTGCCGGCTAGAGAATTAGGAGAACCGGATCCAACTCTCCAATTGAGGGTTCATTGTATCTTGTGGTTTTTCTTCTCTATTTCATCAATTGCAAAGAGTTTTCTTCCCTAAATTCTCTTAAATTCGTCTAAGAAATTGGGTTTGGGGTGCTGAAATTCAATCAATTTCAGCCAAGGGGGAATGTATTTCTGCAATTATTTTCTATCAAATTGGTATTAGAGAAATTTCCACCCCTGGGCGGATATTGAAGTCTCCTCACTGATTTCTGCTACGTTCTCTTTGATCATGTTATTTTTTGCTATTTGAATACCAGAACTGCTATTATTTTATTTTATTTTATTGCCTTTTTTGTTGTCTAAAGCCTATATCTGATTACCCATGGTAGGGAAAAAGGTAGAAGTGTTGGAGGGGGAGATCGGACAATTGAAATCTGGAATTTCAGATATCCGAACTCAAGTTTCAGATTTCAAAAGTCAAATTTCATATGTCCACAAGAAGATCGATGTGAAATTTTTCATCTTGTAGAAGATGTTGAAGAAGTTGCTTGAGGGCCAAACCAAAACGGCGTCGTCAGAGGTGAGGGAAGCCGCTGATTTCCAAGAAAGTGGGGAAAAATCGAATCTGATAAGATGCAGGGAAGATCAGGAGGTGGAGATTATGGGGAGAGAAGAGAGAATGCTTACCCTAGAACATATTCCTAGGGAGGAGTCAGGTAGAGGGAATGGAGAGAGGCGTGAAGGGGTTGGGCATGAGAAGAGGTGTGCTGAATTTGAAAGGAGAGGGATTGAATTTGAAAGGTGATGGCTTCATTATGATATAATTTGTGTCGAATTTAAAGGGAAGGGGGTTGAATATGATCGAAGGGGTGCTGAATTTGAAGGGAGAAAATGAGCTTGTGATGAAAGGATTAGGTAAAAGCGGATAAGGGATGATCGACACAATTGGGGGGAACTACCCCTTGGGGAATGAAATTTTTTGGAGGAAATAGGGGTGATGGAGGAGATCTGAGGGTGAGGAAGCTGAAGCTGAGTATGCCTATTTTTAAAGGAGAGGATGCACATGGGTGCATTTACATGGTGGAAAGGTATTTTACCGTCAATATGTTGACGGAGGAGGAGAGACCAATTGTAGTTGGGATGTGCTTGGAGGGAAAAGCTTTAGCATGGTATCAATGGAGGGATACAAAGCTACCCATATGGACCTTGAGGGAGTTCAAAGACTGTTTGTTAGAACGTTTCTGAACCAGCAAGAGAGGAGACTTCTATTAACAGTTCTTTGCCCTGACGCGAGAGGGGACATTTGTGGAGTACTGTGAGCAGTTTGAGCACTTGGCCAGCTGACTTGATTGGCTTCCGAAGATTTTACTGGAGGGGTACTTTATGAAAGGGCTTAAACCAAAGATTCAGGCAAAATTTATAGTGATGAGGTCTCGTGATTTGGGAAAGGCTATGGAGCTAGTCTAGTTAGTGGAGGATCAGAGGGTACCTGAAGAGAGGGGCTGGAGGCAACAACTCAGAAGGTTCATACATTATGACTACCACCTTTTTGGCATTAAAGGAGTCGACATAGAGTACTCTCAAGGAGCCCAGAAAGAGAAGATAGTAGGAGGAGGACCAGGGGAAAACTTCAAGAAACTCACAAAGACGGAGCTACATGAGAGAGAGGGCGAAGGGCTTGTGCTTTAAATGTGAGGAGAGGTATCACTGGTGTAAAGACCGAACTCTTCAGATTGTCACTGTTTGTGATGACGAGGAAGTTGAGGAAGGAGCTGTCTTTCCATCTTACGGACAAGTTGGGTCTTTGGGAGGGGGGTATTGTTAGACAGGCTTCTGCCTGTGAGGTGGAACAGGCTTATGCCAGTTTAATTGAGTTGGGGCCCAATAGTTCATCAACAATTAAGGTCGGAAATTAAGAGGAAATTAAAATGGGGATTAGGAGGAAAATTCAAATTAGGAGGGTTGTTTTGGCATTAACTATATTTTGTATGCTTTAAATATATTGGTTTAACCTAGGGTTAGGTTTGATGGGGTATTTGCTGAAATTTGAAGTGTTCTTAGGTAGTTTTGAGCTCTAGCTGCCGGCTAGAGAATTGGGAGAGCCGGATCGTCCTCTCCAATTGAGTATCCATTGTATCTAGTGGTTTTTCTTCTTTATTTCATCAATTACAAAAAGTTTTCATCCGTTATTTCTCTTAAATTCATCTAGGAAATTGGGTTTGAGGTGCTGAAATTCAATTTCAACCAAGGGGGAATAGATTTCTACAGTTATTTCCTATCAGAGTATTGTTTTCGTGCACTTGATAGAGGATTTCCTATGATAACAAATTTTATATAGGATTGCCATGAGACATCACAACCTAGATGATATAGGTTAAAAATATTGATAAAGGAGCATACTTAATCAAATTGGTTGGGCATGAATTCAATATTTCTTTCATGAATCACACTGCTTGATTTTCTAAATCTTTTTAATGCACTATTTGCTTTTATAAGCATTTTTTTTTTAAATTTAAACTTAACTACCCTTTGGTAAATTATAATTGCTTATGTAACTTGTGCAGGTTATTTAAAAGAAATTGCTGATGATGTTTATAGGAAAGTAAGGTATCTGTTTTTTCTTGGCTGTCCAGTCCTGAAGTTATGCTGCACCCCTGATAAAAAAATAAAAAAAATTATAGTGCACCCGGTTGTGTCCTTGCCCTATTTTCTTGGAAATGCTTGATATAACATTTTTATAAATAGGCATAATCTGTGACATTTATTTAGTGTTAGCCCGATTGGACTGCAATATCTCCACTCCGCCAACTTTGATGATCAACCACCTCTAATTTTAGCATTGAGTAATGAGATGATTGTTGAGGAAGATCATGGGCAGATCAATGTTGAAAACATTGAAAGTTCAATTTCTCTAGAAGGAGAAAGATTTTCTGAGGTTAATTTTTATTCTCATGTCACTCTGCGTGCAATATCTCGACAAGTGATTACTGTTTCGTGTTTAATTGTATGATTTGTTTTTGTTTTTCCTTTTTATATCATTTCAGGCTGAGAAAAAGTTTTACGATATACTTTTGCATATGAGAATGGAACTTGCCAAAGAAAATGGAACCGCCCCGTAAGAAATGATCATTTGCTTTTTTTTTCATAAAAAATTTTCAGGCCTCTATATTTATTCTTAAGCAAGAAGTGATAGATTTTTATTTTTATTTTGTGGTGCCATAGCTATGCTATATGTGGTGATCAGACACTCATTAAGATTGCAAAGATAAGGCCGTCTACCAGGGCTAGGTTGGCGAATATTGAAGGTGTTAACCAGGTATTTCATTGATCTCTGGGGTAGTATTTCTACAGATTTTCTTTAAGAGTAATTTTGTGTTATCTTATTTGTTTATAACTATGCTAAATAAGCTTTAGAATATTGGAATTCCGACTCTGCCTAGGCATTGTGGGGATTCTCCTAATGACGAAACCACCTTGAGAAAGGTGAAATCTATCTGCCCTTCCTTCTTAAGGGTTTGTTTAATAAAGCTTTTGGGATGCTTTGCTTATAAAAAATGTGTCCTCGAAATGCTATAATTTTTATTTGTGTGGTAATTGTGACAAAAAGAGCATATTATATAGAGCTATGACATGTATTTCTCATGGCTTTGCTGAATTGAGGTTTTAAAGAACTTATTTTGAAAGAGCGTATTAAATAAATTAATGAGGTAGTTTATAGATTGATTTATAAAGTGAAATAGAGTTGTGACTTAGGGCTTGCAATGGAATAATGACATCAATAGAAAATTGAAAGAAAATAGAGGAAAAAGATGCAAAAATAGTGAATTCTCAATTTGTTGTTGTCAAATCCTTAAGCAAAATTGTTGAGTCATAAGGCAAGGAACATATTAAGAGAAAATAAAGGGTAGAAGAGTTCTTTTCTTGAATTCTTCATAGATTCAATAATCAATAATGAAGGTTCATACATAAGATGATGGGGAATGTTCGTAGTCTAGGGTTTATAAATGTGTCAAAGGATGAGATATAAAATTAATATATAATATCAACAACAAGCCTTTATCCCAACTACAATTAATATTAAAAAACAAAACTAAAATTCTTGAGTTAAGAACTTTTAATTTTAGCAAAGAATAGCTACATTTAATATGAAAATATGAAGCACGCTTGTACTCGCTTCATTAATTCCAAATAATAATGTGATAGTCAAAATCTAAAAAAAAAACAAATATGTTGTTTTTCTGATAATCAAAATTCACATTATGAGAAAGAATGGACGCATATCACTATTGAGTATGTTTCAATCATGCCCACAAATCAGTCACTAAATAAATTAATATCAAGAATAATGATAGCAGTTACCCAATTAGAAGATCCAAGTACACGTTTATAAAGGAGATTCTGATGTGAAACTACTAGGAGTTACGATCGAAATTAAAAGATTCACCTTTGAAAGCAGTTATCTAGATCTGCTAAACACTCAAAGAATAACATTCAACAAAACAATAATCTAGATAAAAAAAAAATGAAATTTTTATCTTACTATTTAGTGTTTTATGAATTCTGTAAGTCTATACTAATTGAAAGTGTACTTTTAAACTGCATTTTTTTTAACTGTTTATATTTAACATGATTAAGATGATGATCTTATTAAGAACAAGTTATGCTTTTCAATATTTTATTAAGTTCTATAGGGGAAATTCTCCTAACACATAAATTGTAGGAATTAGCTTTAGGTTTCTTAATTTACAAGTGTAATTATCCTGAAAAGGAAAAACAGAGGTGACAAAGACTCGATATAATAGGTGGTTGAGTAAAACATTTGAGATTGTTGCAAATTAATTGAATGGAGACGATGAGGGAAATCCCAAAACTATAACATTATCAAAATCAACACCTTTGGGACTATAGCATAATAGTGGCACTCGGGGGAAAATCAACTATAGCAATTATTGACACTAAGGAAAATTGTCTATGGTATTTAGGGAAATGAGCGCCTCTGGATTGTAGAGAAATCAATCCGTTCGGGCATATCAATCCAATGAAATTGAAGGACACCTTCTGAAGCAAATCACTCTTATAACAATTGTATAGCAAACGAGAAACCTTGAAAGCTAAAATTTATATTATTTTTGTGTTGGGAAAGTTAATGCTTGCTATTTTTTAATAGATGTTAGCTGTTTGAGAAGTTTCTTATTTTGAGTTCTTTGTGAGCCATAAATATCATTCTTGAGGCATCTATAAACATCATTGAGAATCAACTATTGCAATAAAATTTTAATTGTCTTCAATTCTTATGTTTGTGCTGGTTGGATGCATGCTATGTCAGTGTTGATGATTACTTCCAGAAATATCTGTCCTTATATTGATGCGAGGTATAGTTTTTTTTTACATAATTTTTTTTCTTGCTCTTGCTTTAATTTGTCTGCTAGATTGTTTTATAGTGTGAAACTCGATCTTTCTTGAAATTAATATTCAGTCATTGTTTTCATATGGAATATCAAATTTTGGTGGGTATTCGATCATTGTATCAAGTTACCTGACCTTTCTCTTTCTGTAGCATCTTGTAAGTATGTATGGTGACAAGTTTCTTCAAACTATAAGTAACGCATCACAAGAGCTTGATCTGACCCTGAATAAAGAAGAAAATGCAGTAACTACTACTAGAAAGGTTTATCCAAGCTCAGAGAAAAACCTAAACCCAGCCAAGTTTGAAGCTTGGAAAATGTGGCAAATGGGTAAAAATTCATTGAAAGAAGTTTCTGTAAGTTCATTGTGCAAGCTAACTTTCTATTGTGTATTTGTTACTTGGCATGAGCATTCATCTTTCGTTCATGTGCTCTTATTATCAGAGTTTAGGGAGGTCGGTTCCAATTAAAGAACAGACTGTCATTTCATATATCCTTGAAGCTGCCCAAACTGGTTGTGAAGTGGATTGGGTTAGATTTTGCAGTGAGATTGGTCTGACACTTGAAATTGTTTCTCAAATACGCTCTGCTGTCTCTAAAATTGGATCAAGGGACCGATTGAAGCCAATCAAAGAGGAACTAACAGAAAATGTGAGTTTCTTTTTTTTTTCTTTTAAACAAAGAAAACGCCATTCTACTTGTTAGTTGTTTTCCTGGAGCCTTTGCAGGAAAAGTGATTGGCATTACTTAGGCTTCGTTGGTGACTGCTTTCTTACTGCTTCTTAAAGCAGTAGAAAGGTTTTTTTAAGAAGCATTAAAAAAGTTGTCCCAAACGAAACCTTAATGTATGCATCCGCTTAACATTTGGAGTGGATGTTTCTCAGGTGAGTTATGAACATATTAAGACTTTCGTAATGATGGAAGACCTCAACATATCAGCAGATGAAGTTTTTGGCTGCAAGCCCTCATTGCTTAGTAATACTTCAACAAAACCATCAAATGACGCCAATTCAGAATGGGGATCCTTAGTCAGAGGAAGAGCTGAGTCCAAATCAAGTCCTGAAGCTGTCAATGCAAGAAAACAAAATCGAAGCCACAACACAGATCATGAATCTCCTGCAAAGAAACTCCACGCCCCCCCAACCGACGAAAATGAAAACTTAAACAATGGATTGGAAGCAACTCAGGACTCCATCATGGAGTTGATTAATAACAGTGATGGGGTAAAGATCAATCTGGACTGATTTCCTTGCTTTGTCTGATTTGAAACTTTTCAAGAATATTCATAGCGTTATTTATTGCAGATATCGCTGTCAGAAATTAAAAACTTCTTCAGAGGATCTAAGGCCGATGATGTTGTTGATTTGCTGAATTGTTTAGAGACCGAGTTTCTCATATTTAAAAAGAACGATTTGTACCGGGCCTTGTAAGTGTCACACATAGCTTTATTGAAATTTTGAGCTCTGAATTCCTCTGTATATAATATATTTAATTTTTTGAAGGAACTTTATATAGTGCTGCCAATGAGTTCATCTATTCGATTCTATATTTTCATGAATATATTATTTTTAGAGTTGCCATTTTTTTGTCTCCTAGTATTTCCTCATTTGAGAAAAGATGAAAATTCCATAGAAAAAATTGTGTAGGATCTAGAGAAATTATTTTGTGCCAAGACAGGACACAATGTCATCCGGAGACCAACTTGAATGCAACATATCAGCAGTATCAAGTTATGATACCAAGTGATATCAAGCGATAACAAGCCGCGGCACCGAGCAAGGGGTGACGTGTCATATTCTATTTGGTCTTCGAATGGTTTTCGACGTCCACACAAAATAATTAATCCAGGATATGATCTAAATGCATGAAATTATGTAATTTCAACATGTATATTAATTCAAAGAAAAGGAATATATCTATTTTAAAATGTATGATATAAAACATTAAATGTTCATACTTTTTACATAATTAGCAAAACTAATATCATAAGTTGATAATGCGATTTTTTCTAATTTTTGTCTGATTGCGATTCTCTCATTCCATGAGAGCTCAAACCATGATCTTTATGAATAATATAACGATCAAATTATAGGTAAAAAAAAAACTTCCTATTATTGCAATATAATCATGTATTGCAAGTGGTACAAAAACTAGACTACATGGGGGAATAAAGGATTCTTTGCAGTAAATATGGATTGCATTATAGGAGAAATTATTCTATGCGAAGGTCAGATGTTGAATATTGTCTAGAGACCAATTAAAATGTATCATGACAGTGAAACTGAGCAGTACCAAGCGAAGGGGTAACATGGTGCATTCTTTTAGATATTCGGACGTCATTCGCCATTCGGCGTTCGCATAGAATAATTAATCGCATTATAGAATCACAATCAAGAGCATTTGCAAATACCTCACTTGGATGCACATTACTCAACTAAAAAACCAAGCCATTTAACAAAAATCCTATCTCTAGCTAAGATTAAAAAATAAATAAAAAGCTCACCTACCAGTTCACAGCTACCATTTACATCATTACTGTGAAGGTTGCCGGAGCAAAACCAAAAGATCCGTTAATTAGTAAGGAGATTAGTCTCTATGCTTAAAAAGATCACTCATCACCTCACTCTGCAAGCAGCCACACCACCTGAAGAACACTGAGGGCCCGGCGACGACCTGCAATCAATATAATTGCCAACCAACCTTCGATGCATTTGTTGGTTGACGAGGACTGGAACTGAGCCGTCGTCTTGTTCCCCGCCATTGCCCTGTAAGGGCTCGAGCGTCTCCACGACATCCCTCATGAGCGGGCGCGCCTTTGGATTCAGGCTGAGGCAGTAATAAGCGAGGCTGCATGCCTTCTGCGCTGCTTTGATGGAGTACAGTTCCTCCAGTCTCGGATCAATCACTTGCAAGAGCTTCTTCTTATCGTTGAGTTTGGGACGAGCCCAGTCGACGAGACTCTGCTCTTTCCCAGGCCGAGTCTTGTCCACAGACCGTCGACCTGTCAGAAGTTCAAGAAGAACGACACCGAAGCTGTAGACATCGCTCTTTGCTGTCAAGTGACCTGCTTGGAAAAAAAAAAAGTTCATAATGATCCTTACATACTTAGACCATCTCAAACCTAAAATCTCATTTTTCACTTCAACAAAATGCCCTGAAACTAAAAAAAATGATGTGATTCATCCAATCGAACTCCAATTTTGCAAAGGTAACATTCTTTCTTCTTTTCTCACGTTTCTTCGGCAAGTTAGATAGAGACAGAAAAATAGCGGAGATGAACATTGCAACGCCAATATTGACGTCCCACTGTTCACCCGCAAGCAAATAGCGGAAGTTTTACCATTCCACCGGAGCTCTGCAGCAACGCAATTCAAGCGTTTGGAGTTCGGTTGGAGATGCCCTTAGAGAACCTTAGGGCATCTCCAACCGAACTCCAAGCTCCAACGAACCGTAAAACTTTCGCTATTTGGTTGCGGGTGATTAGTGGGATGTCAATATTGACGTTGCACTGTTCATCTTCGTTATTTTTCTATCTCTACTGAACTTGTTGAAGAAAAGCGCGAAAGAAGAGAAATATTGTTACCTTCGCAAAAGAGGGCAATGGAGTTGGATTGGAAGATAAATCACGATAATTTTTACTTTCACGGCATTTTAGAGTGAAAAATGAAATTTTCGATTGGAGATGCCCTTAGTGAACAAAAGATGGAAGTGTATCATACCGGTCATTACATATTCTGGTGCAGCGTAGCCATAGGTACCCATGACTCGGGTTGAAACATGGGTTTCATCGCCCTCTGGTCCAGCTTTTGCAAGCCCAAAATCAGAAAGCTTAGTTGTATAATCCTGAGAAAAAAAAACAAGAATCATCAGGAACTAAATGGGTCAAATATTTTTTTTTTTTTTTGAATGGAAACCAAGCACAGCAAGGCAATAAAAGTATATCTACTTAACAGAGTCCAACAATATATTTGAGGTCTTAAAGTCTCGGTAGATAACAGGCCTTTCTGCATTGTGAAGGAAAGCTAGTCCTTTGGCAGCGCCTAGTGCGATTGACATTCTTGTTTCCCAAGGAATTGGAGCGGCTGTCTCTGAAGAAAACGAAGGACTAAAGATGTCAGCCAGATGTAATTAAGCAGCAATAAAGGTATTGTATCTCTTTTCCCAAAATTAATTCTTTCAAACTATCTCCTTATCTTATTGAAAAGTATAAACACTAATCATATTTATAATGTTCACACAAATATTTAACAAGATAGCAATCATTCTATCATTAATCTTATACACTTCACTGTTAATATGGAACAATAATTCAGTAGGTAGAATATGCTGTCAAGAATGTACTATAGCCACTAGAACAAAAGGTAAAGAGTCTTAAATATAGGAGAAATTATTCTATGCGGAGTCTGGACGGGAAGAACAGTGCAGATTGTGAGTGTATGCATTGTGTACAAACAGTGTGTACACTAACATATCAGGATGGTTTTCATCCCCGTCCGGTGCGGCGGACTCCGCACAGAATAATTTCTCCAAATATAGTGACACAAATCAAAATATAGTTGTATGACAATGACATCATGATAAGAAGGGAAGAAAATTTGATCCTTCCTTTTCATACTACTTCGCACTAATAAAATGCTATCTACCCATCTATCATTAAACAAGTAGCCATGCAAAAGACTTTATTCGATAAGGACAAATGAAGAAGGGGATTGGAATATGGACCATCCTTCAATAACATTCTACCTACCTCTCTAAGCTAAAGAAGCATGAAAAAGAATGGAAATGAAAGCTGAACAGCAGCCCCTTTCCTTTTGGTTAGTAATGGGTGGGGAGAGGTCAGACCTCCGAGAAGCGGCTAGAGTGCTAGACCTCCAGGATAACCTAGAGGTCATATGTTCAAATCGAAATAATAACTTTTCTACAGTGAAAAGGGTAAGTCATGAACCTCACAGCCTAAACTCCCTTGCATTGGTAGGAGACTGTCACTGTATAACTATTCTTTTAGCATTGCGATTAAGATTCTACTCCCTAGATGGGTCCAAACTCGATCCAAAACCATAAATTTCCATGAAGTGGCTTGAAAAGACATGGAAAAACAGTTCCCTCTTTCAAATGTTTTGAGAAATTATAGAAAAAAGCTTCTATGTCGGAAAAACATGAGAGATTATTCTGTGCGGACACCGGACGGGAGAACCGTCCAATTTACGCTTAGATACCGAGTGGTACCGAGCCGCGGTACCACTCGGTATTAAGCTCGGTACCAGACGTGGCGCATTTCTATTGGAGTCTGGACTCCGTACATAATAATTTTTCGAAAAACAGAGGGGTTGTAGCTTACTTCGAAACAAATGGTTCTCGAGACTGCCGCGGAACATGAACTCATAAACCAACAGCCTGTGATCATCCTCACAGCAGTATCCAATCAACTTCACAAGATTGGGGTGCCTTAGCTGCCCTAAAAAGTTGACCTCCGTCTGTAAAAAGAAAAAAATAATATATCTTAAAAGAGCAATGATCAAGATTTTGCCTATCAGGATTACTGAAATGTATGAGATTCTTGTCGACTAGATTTTAGATAACAAATGATTCTACTGGCGTCAAGAAGCAGGAGCTCCAAAACACATACAAGCCAATATGTTCATATTTACTAATATGCAGCATTATGGAAGGATTCAAGCAATAGAGCATATAAGTATATCATAGTCTTTAAGGCCGAAAATCATGCTTGTAGTGAATCTAGAGAACAATGAAATGCATGCGTGGAGCACTTGACTTACAAATTCATGTACCATAAAAAAAAAAAATCTTTTGATGAAATAAATATAACAAAAGACTCACTAATATTTTATTTGGGGCAGTTTAAGTTTTTCTGTTTTTGCTTTTAAGAGCTCATTTCTCAGCCGTAGTTTCAAAAATAGTTCTTCCAAAACAGCTTTTAAAAGCAAAATTTTTTAAAAACGGTGAAAAATGTCTTCAAATATATATAATTTTTCACTAACTACTTTTTTTAATCACAAAAAAGATCAAAAAGATGTTCCAAACTAAGCTTTAGGTTTCATTTGGGACAGCTTTTTATTGCTTCTTAAAACAGTTTAGTACTAAAAAGTTGCTTTAAGAAATAATAAAAAAGCCATTTCAAACTAAGCCTAAGGCTTCGTTTGGGAAGGCTTTTTTACTGCTTCTTGAAGCAACTTTTTAGTACAAAAAATTGAATTTTTGTACAAAAAAGCTGCTTCAAGAAACAGTAAAAAGTCATCCCAAACGAAACCTAAGTCTCATGGTTACTTCTCATACTCAAATATTTCATGCCTAAACTTTGACAATTAAAAAGGTAGCATGTCAAATCAAACATCAGATTTAACCAAAAAAAAACACACACACACGGAAGATTTGAAAGATTTTGGTTTCAGTGTCACCCAAAGATAAACAACGTTCAAGAAGGGCAATCATATGAAAGTAGAGTTATATCAAGTTCATCAGAACCAAGACAACTACTACAAGCTCATACTCCCTCACAGAGTTCCTAAAAATGGCAGGATAAAAAAGAATATACTATGACGAAGCATAAATGATGAAGAAGATCCACATTCTAGATAAATTTACTTACAAGCCATTCTCTGTGTCCCTGATGACCATCCTTGTTCAAAACCTTCACAGCCACAGGAAGTGACTTGAGCCCCACCCTCACATTCTCATCAATGTAACCCTTATACACTGTTCCAAATCCACCTTCACCAAGCACATAATCCGATCTAAAGCTCTTTGTTATCGTCTCAAGCTCAAACAATGAAAAGGCAATCACATTAGTATATATTGATATATCAGTTGAATCTTCTATGTTGCCAGGTACTGAAGGATCACTCAACTCCAACAAGTTCCGATTTTGTTTTTTCTGAGAGGGGACGGTCTTCACATGCTGTGATAACACATTTATCTGGCGAACTTCAAACGTGCACATCAACGGTAAGGAAAAAAATCAGCATTTTTTAAAAAATTCATCATTAGAAGAGGAATAAACAACAAGAACGAAGCAACTTAATAAGAATGAGTTATGTAGTTCAAATATCAAATGACTCTCAAATTAGGTGTTTCTTGCGTGGAAAATTTCACAGAAAAGAAAAATCTACTGAGTAATTACGAAATTGGTGATCCAAAGTTCATTAATTGATTGCTTCCCACTGCAACTACGAATTACAAAAAGGAAACAAACAAGAATGGAAGAAAGGCAAATAACAAAGGTGAAGAGCAGAAATCCAACTTCAAAAAGCGAAAAAAGAAAAGCATCAAGTCCCTAGCTAGAACCTCTATCCATCCCGCATTGATAGAAAACAGAGTACCGTGAGCAGCAGCGACAGCTGATTCCTCTCTGGTTCCGCAATTGCCCATCCTTCTCCGCGCAGCGCTCTCTCTTTCTCATCCTCCGCCTGCTCGCCCCTGAAACGTCAATCGGCGCTTCTCTGCATAGCTCCTTCCTCTTTATCTCTCTCGTCTCGCCAAACAAAGGCTGGGCGGATTGCGACTCCCCATGCCCACGCGACGCGGCAACAAAGAGAACAGGAAAAAAGAAAACGGTGGAGGAAAAAGAAAAAGAGAAAGAGCGCTCTCTCCCTCTCTCGTCTTTCAGAGTCCTATGTACGCGTGAGTGAGAGAAGAAAGCAGAAAGAAGAAAGAAGAAAGAAGAAAGGAGAGATTTTTCAGGTCTCACATGCGAGGGCACGCTCTCTTCTGCTGTGTCTTCTTCTGCTTTGCTTTTGTTTGCTCTTTCGCCACGCCGCCCCCACGCCACCATTTTGGTTGTGAGGTTTCACAGGCTTTACTGTACAAGAACCTATTTCTGGTAATATTTAAACAAAATTCTTAAATACTACAAACTGCTTTTTTGAGAATTTGAACTCACCGAGCTCACCTTCGCCTTATGGTTGAGAGTTTTGATTATTAATCAATAGATTTTAGGTTTAATTTTTAAACATGTGATGTATATATGAGTTCTTGTGTTCATCTTTTTTTTATTTAGAAAACTCGCGATTAGGCCTACGCATTATTACTGGTAAAAATTACACGTCCTTAAAGGACCAGAAGCTCGCTAACATAACAACATTTGAAATAAAACTTAGAGAGCTTGAGATCCTATCTACTACATGAAAAGAAAAGCAAAGCAAATAAGAAATACAATAAAATACAAAAAGGAAAGCAACATACATCAATAAGCATCCAAATCAACTACCCAAAAACGATTACCAGGAGCGATCAAAAGACCCGAAACCAATCCAGGTAAGGAGGGGAATAACATGCAAAACATACAAAGCAAAAAAAAAAAAAAAAGAGGAAGGAGAGAATCATCTCCCCCAGACCTAACACGCAACCCAACAAATAACTGGCCAAATAAGAACCAACAACAAAATATCATTAAGCAAAGATAAATCCACTCAACAAAACAAATATCATTAAGCAAAGATAAACCCACTCAACAAAACAGCAGAGCTACTTTCTAGATTTCATTCGACGACATTTACTGCCATGCGAGAAAGCTTTCTTAACAACTTGACAAACATCTAAACCTTACAAGTCCTGACAAGAATCATCCTGCACATCACCAACATCATCACTCACCTCACCACGCGATGAGGGAGACCCTTCAAGCCAACCCGAATGTGCAGTACAAGTAATCCCCAAATTAGAAACAAAACGAGCATTCAAAACATTAGGGGACATAACAATAATAAGCACCTCAACTAGAGCCTCAGTTCCCAAAGATCCAATATTAATAGGAGAAATAGAACCACCACTAGTCCCCATAAGAGTAGGAGAAACCGACCCAACAATACGGCTAGGAGTAACCACGTCCTTAGACGAAACAACACACACTTCGGCTTGACCAACATCCCATTCCACCTCATTTTCAACCTCCACCGCAACATGAGACAAGGCCGTAACACCAACCCCCACATCATCAGATCCAACCAAAAGCCCACCTGCCACCTCCAGATTAATTACAACAGGAGATAAAAAGTCAATCACCAGAACTATGAAAAAACAACATCACCTTGTTCCTTATCTAAAATAGGCATAATCTTATGCCCCACAACATTAGGCAAAGGAGAAACATCATCATCATCATGAGCACAAATCAGAACTTGATTCAACACCAACTCACCTTGAACCACCCCAACCTAATCATTGGCTGGAATAGTATCATCAAGGTTATGCGAAGCAGGAATATCGATCACATCCCCTTCCTTAACATGAGGAGCATCATTCAAATTTGAAAATAAAATCAGACAATCAACCTTCAAATGACCGAAGGTTTTACAATGAAAGCAATACGAAGGAAACTCTTCCATTTCAACCGATTGAATGAACCTCATAGACTCAGAATCAAGCCAAACATGAGAAGTGTATCTTTTAGTAACATCTAATTCCACAAGTATGAAGCAATAGATGGTCGAGAATTATTAATTGTTGCATTATCCGTTCTCAAAGATCTACCAAACAGAGACCCCAAAAATACATGAAGTATGCATGAGGAAAAAAGATATGGACGTAAACTGGGAAAAGAAATCCAAATATGAACTATAGGGGACTCCACATTAATATCAAAATGGGGAGTCCACTTAAAAAGATTCATGTAGCAATTGCTAATGAAATAGGAGCGGAGAGAAAAAATACTACACTAATCCAAATTATTCACAAGTTTAATCAACACATTTTTAGGGTTCAAAATTGTAACCGAAAATGCACCACAAAGCTTCAAATTGAAAATAAAATTATTCTTTTTTTTTTATAATTTTTATCAATATCATTTTTTTTAACTTGTTTTCTGTTTATATTTGAGCATTATGGTCCATATTTTCTCTAATAATAATAATATGATGATAAATTAATGCAACATTCAAACCATCTAAATTTGATGTTGTTCCTTATTTCAATAGAGGAAGTTTGACTGATTCCAAAAATGAATAATTAAATAAATTTGACTATGATAATAAAAATAGTGAAATTTCAATTTTTATTATTATATCTCATAAGCAAAAAATAATTAAACTGACGCTATTCCATTTATTTTGCTTCATAGTACTTTGAATTCATTAATTAGATGATTGGTATTAGACCAATTTTGATAAGAGAACATACGGTTCGATCTGATCCATCGATCTGATCGATTGGGTCCAACCCATTTGAAAAGGATAGCAATTATAAGGTGGTTGGCTTGAAAATTACATCAAATAATGTGATTTATAAATTAGAAAATATAAATTCATGTTTTTTTTTTTACTTGGATAAACACTTCAATAATCATTAAGGGGAGATAGGGATCTCTATGGCTAGCTAAATAATAAAAATAAAAATAAAACTTATTTAAAAAAATGGAATCTCTATAGCTAGCTCAACATGTCTGCCTATGATTTATGGCACTAGCCGCACTATTATGATTTGACAAGATTGTAGCCCCACATTTTTAAAAGTTAGTCATAACGCAGCTCATTTTTATCTGTTAGTTGGAAGCTTCGGCTATCAACTAAGGCTTCGTTTGGGACGTCTTTCTTACTATTTTTTAAATCAATTTTTTGCTATAAAATTTTAAATTTTAAACAAAAAAAATTGTTTTAAGAAACAATAAAAAAGCCCTCCCAAACGAAACGTATATGATGTGTGTATGATTTTATCTTAATTGACCTAAATATTCTTAAAAAATTAATAATTAATTCTCTTAAATGGCCAAGTTTCGATAATAATTAATTAATTCTACCTATTAATTAGTTCAATAACAAATTGAATCTGCCCATATAAATGGTACCTCAAAATTAATAAATAACCTCATCATAAATAAATAAAGAAGTAGAAACCCACGAGCCACGAATAACTCATTTATAAGATGTACTTGACACGAGCTACACCTACCCCATGCATCTGCCAAAGGAACTTTTATTTGGTTTGGTGTAAGGATGCAGAAGAACATTCGGTCGTAGGCAAAATCGCGCCTATACCGAGGTGTACCGAGTTTTTTTAATCGGTATAGGCGCGATTTTGCTTACGACCGAATGTTTCTCTGCATTCGGTCGGAGGATGTAATAATTCTTCCTGCCAAAGGGCACAATGCCTTTAAAAAAAGAGAAGTCATTGCTCACAAAGGTCACATTTAAAATATATTATTGTGTTTCAGGTGAGAAAAAAATATTATATAAGAATATCGAATGCATCCGAAGGTTAATTCGGGCGCGTCACGTTATTTATTAATGTATTATTCATTTGGTGATATGACACATCCAAATTGACCTCTGGATATGTCTGGATATCGTACCTAATAATTTTTTTTTATGAACAAGAGGATTAAATTCGATTTGATCTATGATTTTATCGGTCCTCTTTAAAATAAAAAGGAATCATTTTAAGAGTCCTCTTATTCGCTCATTTGTTTTTACTACTTCAAAATAAGATTAATTTGAATAATATATTGATAGCAAAAATGAATGAGAAATATACTTTTTTGAGTGCAGGGAGAAATTATGATATATAAATTTAGATTAAACTCATCTTTGTTGTAGAATTTTGAACAAATATGTCATTAGAGTTAACAAACTTTTTTGAGAAAAAATTTTGAAGGACAAAAAAAGTTCAGAAGATTTATCTCATCTTATAAATTTCAGTATGCATAAATAAGTTTGGAGATTGATAAGTAATAACGGACACCTGTAAACCTGTGTCCGTTGCCTAGCTTAATATGTAAAACCGTATAAGACCTGTATCAATATTTACTTTCCCTTTATATAGTCTTGTATTGCGTCTCTGAAAACATGAATAAACAAATCTCTGTTCATCCAAATCTTTATGGTATCATAGCAGCTTTCCTTCCCCTCCCTTCCCTAAGCTGTCGATTCTTGCTTTCTTTCTTTCATTTCACTTTCTTCTCGTTCTTGCCGCCGAGCTAGCTCCATGGAGGCTTCGTCTACCTCACAGATAGCGCATCGCTATACCGCTGAGAAGGACGATGGAGTTCACATCCCTACTGCACTCAAATTTGTCATATCCAACATTAAGATCATCGTGCACACACCTCTCTCCTCAGACAACTGCTCCGTTTGGTGTTCGCAGATCTTGAAACTACTCATTGCAAACGGGTTTGCATCCTTTCTTCTTCCGCCAATATCCGTTCCTGGTCGCTACATCGAGCATCCCGACAGCAGTAGAGATCCTAATCCCAAATATCAAGAATGGGTTCTCATCGATCAAAATATTGCGGCGGCATTGTGCTCCGCACTCTCACCGACGATTCTTCTGTATGTAATCAACCTCGAATCTACCTCTGACATCTGTTCTACAATAGAACGTCGGATCCAATCTTCGAACAGATACCGGGTAATTCAGTTGAAAAACGAATTACACAAAGTTCAAATGAAGAATCAGTCCATGTCGCAATACCTCACTCAAATTAAAATCATTGTGGACAACATCGCTGCTGCCGGAGCAATTCTTGATCAAGAAGATATCATTCTTTACATCCTCAATGGGCTTCCTCAAACCTACAATGCCTTCAAGACATCGATTCACATGATGATTACTCCAATTGATCTCGACACGCTGTACTCTATGCTCATCAGCGAAGAAGTCAACGTGCAAGCAGACAATCTTCGCAACGTTGCTATTGGCGATTCTTCCACGGCATTATACTCCTACCGCGGTAAAGGACATCGCGGTCAGGGAAGACACTCAGCTCAATCCAGAATAAATTCAACTCCCAGCATCCAAAGTCAAATTTGCAGCAAAAGGGGCCACTCAGCCCACAACTGTTGGCATCGTATGAACATTACAATTAATCCTCCGGAAGCCAATTCAAACCAGTCCTCAAGAGCTCTGGTTGCTGCCAATGACGTCAACAACAACACTGACGGGTATCTTGATTCAGACTCGTCGGCACATCTCACAAACTCTCTTGACAACCTCTCTCAAGCAAGCACCTACAATGGATCAGACAACATCATCGTCGGTGATGGCAGAGCCCTACCCATTGCTCATTCAGGCAATGAAATTCTGCCTACACCGTACAGTAAGCTTAAACTCAAACAATTATATCACGTTCCTAACCTCTCACACAATTTATTGTCTATTACCAATCTTACTCATGATAATAACGTATCAGTTTGCTTTGATTCGCATGGCTTTGCTATTAAGGATCTGAGGACAATGCAAACTCTGTTAACGGGAATAAGTAAGAAAGGCCTCTACCTAGTCCGAACGAAAGATGCTACTTCACGCAATATGGCACTGACAGCTCACTCTCAAGATTCCTCACTATGGAATCAACGTTTAGGCCATCCCAATGCACAAATAGTGCATCTTTTCTCTGCTAAAAATAAACTCTTGCATATACCGGTTAACAAGTCTATGTGCTATAGTTGTAAAATCTCTAAAGGACATAAACTAATGTTCTCTAATAATACTTCTCGTGCTTCATTTCCTTTAGCTGTTATTCACACTGATGTTTGGGGTCCCTCACCGATACCATCACATCAAGGCTTTCTTTACTATGTGGTGTTTATTGACAATTTTTCAAGATTTAATTGGGTTTTTTCTATGCACTATAAATCAGATGTTTTCAATATATTTCTTGAATTTAAAAGATATGTGGAAAAACAAACAAATCATCATATTAAATGCCTTCAATTCGATGGCGGTACCGAATATTTAAATTCTAATTTCAAATCTTTTCTTACCAACAAGGGAATTCAACACCAAACTTTGTGTCCCTACACGCCTGAGCAGAATGGTCTGGCCGAGAGAAAACACAGACATCTGATAGAAACTACGCGCACGCTGTTACATACCTCATCTGTGCCTCATCAGTTCTGGCCCGATGCTGTTCTTATGGCCTCCTACCTTACAAATCGCCTACCGTCTACTACAAACAATCTCCCCTCTCCTCTTGAACTTCTATTTAACAAAATACCGGAGTAGAGCTTCTTGTGCATATTTGGTTGTGCGTGCTTTCCGTGGATCCCCTCGAATCAACGGAACAAACTTGAACCTCGCTCAAGACTATGTATACTCATAGGCTACTCAAGTATCTCAAAAGGATACAAGTGTCTTGATCCAAGCACTAATAAAATTTACACCTCTAGACACGTTACATTTCATGAAATGTGTTTCCCCTACAAACAACAAACTTCTACTCACTCTCAGGATGTACATTCCGTTCCTAATTCCTCACTGCTACTACCTTATTCTCAAACCATAACACAAAGACATCAGACATATGCTAAGACTCAGCCTCACATTTCCAGACCCAATCCGCCGCCAGACTCTTTATCCATGCAACCAAACTATACTACTACTCCTATACAGCAACTTGACCCTCACATCTCTCCACCTATTTCCAAGTCTAACTCCACGCGTGACAATCAGACAAACAACGTTGGTCATCCCATGATTACTCGACTCAGATCTGGAATAATCAAACCCATCCAAAAACTCAATCTTCTTTACGCTCAGACTGATTCCTCCTTTGATATTCCTCATGAACCAGGAAATTACTCAGAAGCAAGCAAACACCAGGAATGGCGAACAGCTATGGCTGAGGAATTTCTTGCTCTTCAACGTCAAGGAACCTGGCAATTGGTAACACCTCCTCCTAATACAAATATACTAGGTAGCATATGTACATTTAGAACGAAATACACCGCTGATGATACCATCGCACGGTTCAAGGCTAGACTAGTTGCATAAGGAAACAACCAAGTTTCCCACGATACGTGTTCTTCTAACGATAGCTCTCACCAAAGGCTAGCCAGTACATCAAATGGACGTCAACAACGCGTTCTTGCACAGGAATCTCAATGAAATCATATACATGATGCAACCAAAAGGATTTGAAGATGACCAAAATCCAAATCACGTATGCCAACTCAAGAAAGCCATATATGGACTCAAACAAGCCCCTCGTCAATGGTTCAACACGTTCTCTCAACATCTACAAGATCTCGACTTCTCTCAGGGAAAATCTGATATCTCTCTCTCTTCGTTTTTCATCAAAACATTAATAAACACATCTACTTAATTATTTATGTAAATGACATATTATTGACCGGAGATGATATGTCCATGATTAACACTATCATTGATCAATTAAATGGCAGATTCTCTATGAAGCATCTCGGTCTCGTTAACAGTTTTCTTGGTCTAAAAATCAAAAAGGGACACAGATCCTATTTCCTGTCACAAGCCAATTATGCGGAATCTATCCTGAAGCTTGCCGAAATGACGAACCTGAAGTCGTTATCCAATCCCATGTGTACAAAACTACCAGACTCACTCCCTTCCGCTGAGATGCTCACAGATCCTAAAATCTACAGACAACTCACAGGGTCATTGCAATATCTCACTTTAACAAGGCCATATATAGCATACACGGTCAATCTACTCTGTCAATACATGCATTCTCCTTCCTCACATCACTTCTATTTACTTTACATATTATTAAGATATATACATGGTACTTTATCATTCGATATTCCTATCTTACCAGGTAAACTAGAGTTCAACTCATTTTCGGATGCAGACTGGACAGGAGATAAAGATACCCGAAAATCTACTTCAGGTCACTGCACGTTTCTAGGCCAAACGCTAATCTCTTGGATGGTCAAGAAACAACATACAGTAGCTCGATCAACACTGATGCAGAATACAGGGCTCTCGCACTAGCTCTCACAGATGTCATATGGCTAAGAAGATTACTACTTGACTTCAACATACAACTTCAATCTCCCACCAATCTGCATTGCGACAGCATGTCCGCCATAGCACTGGCCAACAATCTAATTTTCCATGTGAGAACGAAGCACATCGAAATAGATCATCACTTTCTTCGTGATCACATTCAGCAGGGAACTATACATATTCATCCAATTTCGACCAAAGATCAAATTGCGGATGTTCTTACCAAACCTCTTTCCACAAACCGGTATCAGGTGCTTCGTGCCAAGCTCACACTCATTAACACTCCATTAGCTTGCGGGGGAGTAATAACGGACACCTGTAAACCTGTGTCCGTTACCTAGCTTAATATGTAAAACCGTATAAGACCTGCATCAATATTTACTTTCCCTTTATATAGTCTTGTATTCCATCTTTGAAAACATGAATAAACAAACCTCTATTCATCCAAATCATTAATAAGCCTAAACAACGTCAATTTAATATTTCACCAAACATGGTGATATTAATGACAACACATATGTTGATTTTATATGAGATAGAAGTTGATAACAGTATAATTGTTAATGTCTCTAAGAAGTAGTAACACAAATGATGGTGTTATTAGGCAAAGAAATCATTCTATACAGAGTCTAGATGGGAAAAATTATTTGGATCGTGAGTATACACACTGTGTATCTATACTGATTTGATATATATACATATCGTATATAAATATGTACACAATGTATACGTATACTCATATGTTCGGGTTGTTCTTCCTGTTCGGACTCCGTACAAAATAATTTCTCTATTATGTGGCATCTGTGCAAGCAATGATGCATTGTTGGTGGCAACTATAAGTGATTTCTCGTCTTCGAAGGCACCTGCTTTTAGATTATGGCTTCATTTAGGACAGCTTTCTTACTGCTTCTTAAAATAACTTTTTAGTATAAATTTTAATTTTTATATAAAAAAGATGTTTTAAAAAACAGTAAGAAAATTGTTCCAAACAAAACCTATAAAAATTAGAGGAAGCAAAGTCAAAATCCTAAGCCAGTTGGCTGTTGGCCCAAAGAGAACAAATAATGGAGATGATATTCTTTCGCGAAGAACTGAATAGTTTTGGATTATATGATCATGCACTACGGCTAACAGTTATCCTAATACATAATCACATGATGTATTGATGTTATCAATTTTAATTTCTATTAATTTACACCTCTGACCTCTCTCTCTCTCTTAAATAATGCCAATATATGAAGATTTTAGAGTCTGTGCATGAATACAGCAACATATTATTTATTTTTATAATTAAACATTTTACTCCACTCAAATAAATAAAACAAAATAGGTCTCTTTAAATATACATTTTGAATTACAAATAATTAAATAATTCCTAAAGTAATTGACTACGAATTAGTCTAACATGATTTGTTCACACCAAATAGTAATTAATTCTACGTAGATATCAAACAGCGCCGTGCCATCCGCCCATCCCGGCCGCTCCGCCCGCTCCTCTACTAGCAGTATGATTCGACAAATACTGCTGCACACCCTCCGCCGCCGTCGGACTGTTCTCCGCCTGCTCAGCCGCTACATCCCCCAAGTTACCCTCTCCAACATACTGCTGCACCACCAACACCGACGTCGTCGCAGCCACCCCCGCCCCGCAATCCAAAGACGCCAACAAATCCCCGATGGGGCCGAGCTCCGGGCACTCCGACCACTCCTCCATCCCCTTCGTCAACTTCGACACCCAAATCCTTCTCCCCACCACACACAAATCAGGCCTCTCCCCTTCCATTAATCCTCTTATTACCTCCACCGTCTCCTCACTATTACTCACGACCTTCTCCACATACAACACGCTCTCATCGTTCACAAACTTTACTCGAAACTCGCTTACATACTCCTCGTCCTGATCGGCTGCCGCCTCACCCTCTGCTAAAAATCTCAACAAGGTGAGCGCGACGGCAGGGTGCTCCGCGATCCTCCAAGCGTAGGCCAACGCCTCCCGGTCATCGGGCCCGCCGAAGAAAAGCACCACCACGTGCCGTACGTGGTGAAGTCTATTGACCCCTGCCGCGCTGGACAAGCCACGGTCGACGAGCACGCCGACGGAGCAACGCGCGTTCTTTAACACATTAGCATTGAGCGTGCGAATGGCTGGGTGGATGACCTCCATCCCGCCATCGACGGTATGCAGTTTGTGGAATGGGAGGATTATGATGGCGGCGTGGCGGTCCTCGGCAAGGGAACAGACGTCCTCGTGCATGGTGGAAAAGGGAGAGACGGCAGTGATAGGTTGAATGGAGACGCCGCCTGCGTGCTGCTCGTAGGTTTCGAAGGCGTTGATGATGTGCTGGGAGTGGGCGTGAGTGAGCGGGAGGGAATCGGAGCTGCAGGCGTTGTCGACGATGAGCAAGGCGGAGGCGTGGCCGCTGAGCTCGACGAGGTGGAGGGCGTAGAGGAAGATGGGAGATTTTTTGGTCGGGTTGGATAAATCGAGAAGGCTGATGATGGAGGGGACATTGCGTGATTTGTGGACGCAGGCGAGCATGCGGAGTTCGGAGTCTGGCCGCGAGCACTGCAAATTTCTTCGTTTGTAGCCCAGGTGTTTTCTCGATCGCTTGTAGGCGGCGGTCACCACCGGCGTCACCGTTGCCGTCATCATGATGTTGAGCAGCAGAATGACTGCGTAAATGTCAGCCTCCATTAACTGCATCATTAATTAACTGACACTTTTAAGATGCAATAAAAATACTAACTTTTTTCTGAGTAGAAATTAATGTATAAGGAATGAATCGAAGAACTTGCATTTTTGTCGCGGGCGATGCCGAGTATGATAAATCCGCTTGGATTGACGAGGAAGGCCAAAGCGATACCCTCAAGAAATGGGAAGCCGAAGTAGACCGCAATCAGTATGATCACCCCTATCTTTACAGAAGCAGAGAGGAGGAAGATGAAGATGAGGACGAGCGCATGGGACGGGCGATGAATCGTCAGGAGATCAATTCGAAACCCGCTCGCAAAGAACACTAGAGGAAGAAACAGATCTTTAATGAACTCCTCAACCCGCCCGATAAGAGCGGTTGCATGAGGTGTCGGTCGGATCACGAAACCATACAAAAATGCACCAAAAGCAGAATGTATCCCAATCAGATCCGCAATGAGTCCGGCAGCCATAACTCCGATAAGAATTGTCCCGCTATCCATATCGCTCATCACTTCCCCCTCCGGTATTCGGCTAAAGAACCATCCGACGGCAGGGCGGACCACAAATAAGCAGAATAGAATGTACACAATCGTGGCGAGAATGATGAGATGTGAAGGAGGAGGGGAACCGCCAGTTTCGTTGGAGCCAGTAAAAGCAATTCCGATGGCGAGGAGAACCCAACCGAGGAATTCGATGATCATAGCGGTGGAGAGGGCGATGCGGCCGATCTCGGTATCCATTAGCTTGATTTCGAGAAGGATGCGGGCGAGGACGGGGAAGGAGGTGATGGAGAGGGCGATGCCGAGGTAGATGTAGAAAGCTTGGTTGTAAGTGTGTTGTTGGAGTAAATGTTTGCGAAAGGTGTAGGTGATGGAAATGGTGACGAAGAAGGGGAGGAGGATGCCGGCGGTGGCGACGGAGAGGACTTTGCGTCCTGTGTGGCGGAGGATGGAGGTGTCAATTTCGAGGCCGACGATGAAGACGAAGTAGAGGAGGCCCATGTTGGCGGCTGTTTTGAGGAGGTAGGCGCTTCGGTGCGGGAAGAAGATGTTCGTGTATGTTTTGAATATGCGGCCCATGAATGTGGGACCCAATACTATCCCCGCCTGCTATCACATAAAACAATTTAGAAAAAAAAAAACAGAGAACTTGAAGAATAAGATATATTAAAATGAATTTAAATATTAAAATTTAATTTAATATCAATTGTTATTGTATTTTATTCATTTAAATGTTTTTCTAAAAATATTAATACCGATTTTTACCAATTTATAATTTTTCTACAAAGAAAAGTGATGCACTCATGTAAAAAATTGCAATTACATTTAGCCAAGTTAAGAAATTATTTGATTACGGGTGCGGATCCATATCATTTTTTTAGGGTGGGCAAACTCTTGTGATTTGTAAAGGTGAAGGCGGACGGCTTCTTGCAATTGCTAAGGGGATCTGATCTTGCGAGTAGTGAACAACAGAAAAAGAGGGCTTCGACCCTTCAATTGTGACTCTGCGAATTATGGGAGGCGGGATAGGCAAAAATAACGCATAATTAATAAATTTAGTTAAAAAAAGTTCTTTGAGGAGGCCCAAAATTTCGAAAAAGTCATCTCTAACGTTTTTTTTTTCATGCCCGCCCTCACTTGACCGTGGATTCGCCTATATTTGATTAGATTAATAAATAAAAAAATTAAATGCAAGGACTATCATATTTTAAAAGATTTATTTTAAAAATGAATTAATTATTTTCTGTAAGGTCTACCCATACTAAAAATTACGTGATTAATATTTTTTATTGAATATCTTGTTTGATTTTTTTTTTCAATAAAGTTGTGAAGAACCTGTATGTGGATTTATTATTCTGTGTGAAGTGAGGAGGGCGTCAAGAGATTAATAAAAATGAGTCATATCATCCCAGATACCCAGCTCTCTGTACCCGCACTCAATACCATGCAGCGTCGGGTGTCGTAGAATAAAAGCTTGTGTAATGAGAGAGAGAGAGAGAGAGAGAGAAAGAGGGACATACTAGGATTTCGGCGACGACGACGGGCTGGCGTAAAGGGCGGAGCAGGGCAGCGAGAGCGCGAGTGGTGAGAGAGATAAAGAGAAGTTGGGTGAGGAACAAAGGGAAGGAATATTGCATTGGGTTGTCTCCAAGCCACACGCCATTGCTCAGTACCATTTTTGGAGAGTAGCAATCCAATTTCAGGACTAAGTCACTGAAAGAGAAGTTGGCGCCGCTTCCCCCTCCGCTCCCGCCGACTGCCTCCTTCATGCTCAGATGCATCAGCAACTCCGGCGACTTGCCGTCCATTGTTCGATCTTCTTCTTTATTGTCACGATCGATGGCTGAGGAGAGGAAGGAGACATAGGAGTCGGGCAAGAGAGGTAGTCGAAGGGGAATGTATAGGGAAGAATGGAAGATTAACAGAATTAGGTGTTTGGTTACTTCGGCTGACACTATTGGAGCGAAAGATGTTTGTTTTAGGATATATTGGTTTATCGGTTACTTTCATGGGTAATATTGGAGAGGGTTGTACAGTTACGTTTGACTTCGTTTTTTTTTTTTTGTTTTGTTTTATATGTATAAACAAATCTTAAATAAAAATTGATCTTATCGCTGGATTTACAGAAGACAAAGACATGCCGTGGCATTGACGAGGCCTTCCTTGCATTAATCAATGCAGCTGAGGAGGGGGAGATTTTGATATAAAAATTTTTCGGGATCAAACCATTAATTTTGATTCGAAAAAACTCAAAAGATTTGATTTTTAATGAATCATTAATATCAAATTTTCTTCTGTAAGCGACAGCGTACAGAAGCAAAGGAAGCCTCTGGCGATGGTTGCTTGAAAGGTTGATATCCAGTTGCTGTTGGTCAAAGCTGGTTCTTCTGTGGAGGGCTGGAAATCAAAATCTCTTTTTTTTTTTAGTTGACAAATTGGTAATGCCTTAGATTTACCATATAGAACATTAATGTATATATTGGATAAAGGGCTCCATTAGGTGAAAAATGTGCTTCAAATACCTGAATAACTTTTGTGACAGATTTTCTACTTCGGTGACATGAAAAATATAAAATTACATTTTGTGCCTTGGTAGTTGGTAAGAATGTAAGATACTTGCATATGTTGGCTACTAGTATTAAAGGGCATATTTCTTATCCAATCAGCAGTGGTAGTAAGCTATCTTTTTTTTTTTTTTGACCCCTCGTTGGTTTTACAGTAAATCTTGAAGGATTTCACAATGGCACATGGAACCTCTTTCATTCCCTTTCTATTGCGAGGGATGTAAAATGTTCTTTAGGATATCTGATTTAGTTTGTTAAAAATATGTTACATCATTGTAGAATCTTCTAGGTTTTTCTTGCTAGCTTATAAGTTTAACAATTGTAAGTATGAAGAATGAATGAATATTTTCGGAATTCCAACCATTTTTACGATTTTGATCGCTATGAGTTGTTTCGCTCTTGTCTGCTCATGTTTCTTCAATGATCTTCCCACATCAATTGGTATCAGAGCCAACTTTGCCCCTTGACATTGATCAGGGCTATGTTCTTCTGTTACATCAACCATTGATGTTGATCGAGGTTTTGGATGCTTTTGAAAGACCATACATGAAAATAGGTTGCTGACAACATTCGAAGCCTCCAGCAGCCAGCAACCATATTGGTGATTCTACACATCCATCGATAGTAACCATACCATAATGAATCCATCGATGGCCACCATACAATCAGATATATTCACGCTCACTCCACACATAATCTTCCTGTCCATGACCAAATTCCATCGTGGCATGGTCGTGTTCCTTGCAATCGACCGACATCGTTGACCTACATGCGATCCATGATTGTGTTTGTCCAGTCCATATGAATGTCCACAATTGTCGTGATGCCGCTCGCTACAGCAGGCATCCACCCATTTTTGAGCAATCCTCTCCGAAACCGCCCGCTTCCCACTTGAGCATGCAATTTCTCGATCAGATCCACTCAGAGCCGCAACTCCCAACATCACTGGACCCTCATAGTGGCCCATCATTGGAAACCTAAACCTCATTGGATCGAGCACCCCCGCACCAATCCACTCACAAACTCTCCAAGAAGTACAACTCGCTTATGTTCCTTCAATTTGGCTCCTTCCCGGTAGTAGTGGTATCCTCTGTCTCCATGACTCGCCTCTTTCTAAAGACCCACGACTTGGATTTTATTAGCCGCCCTAAGACCGTCGACGACGACTACACTGCCTACAACTACTCTGACAATCACGTGGTCACCATATGGACTCTACTGGTGTCATGTGCGAAAGATTTGCATCACCGAGCTCTTCAGCCCTCGAAGCCTTGACTCCTATGAGCTCATTCCCTCCGCCAAGATATGTGGGCTTCTCCACCACCGGCAAGCACCTCCTGCTTAAGGACTATCTCACTACTCTTAGCCTCAACGTCTTCCTTGACTCCGCCCCCAGCTCCGTTTTCTTTGTACTGAAGGAGAATGATGCAGAGCATCTTAGCTGCTAAAATATTTCTTAGGATATATGATTTAATTTGTTACAAATTTGTTACATTTTTCTAGATCCTTCTAGGTTTCTCTTGTTAGCTTATAAGTATAACAGCTGTATGTATGAAGAATGAATGAATTTTTTTTTGCAATTCTAGTAGTTTTTAATGTTTAATCCTTAAGAGTTGTTTGGCTCTTATTTGTTAATGTTTCTTCAATCATCTCCCCATATCACTTTTTGACTACACCATAAGGGATGATGATATAAATTATATTTTTTGGAGGGGGAAGGCTAAGACCATCTCCAACAGAACTACAAACCTGTGTTTGTCGTTTGCCTCAAGCTCCACCCGAACGCCGTTTATAGTCGCATTTTTACTAGGGGAACAGTGTGATGCCATTGTTGTCATCACACTATTCACAAACCCAAAAAATGGTGGAAAGTGGGAAAGGTGGAGGCATAGAAAGACGTGTGAAGTGCTGTTGAGAAATAATATACAGAGAATTTTTTTTTTGTTAGAAATGGACTTTGAAAAGTTACTGCATTTTGAAGTATTGCTAAATTTTTTTGCTTCACCTAAATATTTTACGGGCGTTTCATTTTATTCCACATTTTGAAAACTGGACCGGATCGTCTAGAACCGGTTTGAACTGCTGTTTCATCCAGGAACTGGCAAACCGATCCCAATTTTCTAAAACTGGCCGATCCAAATTTTTTTATTTAAATTATTAAAGAAATTATTTAATATTAAATAAATAATAAACTTAATCAATTAATATAAATATTATATATTAAAACTCTTAAATAATTATTAAAGCCTATGAATATAGTCTACTTGCAACATTATCACATGGCATCACAAGGGTCCATATGAACTCCTATCATGTATAAAAGTAAAAAAACTATATAAACTATGCAAAGCAAAAACACTAAACCATAAAAAGAAAAAATCTATCTTTAGTTTCATGTATACACTATACAAAGCAAAATATTTTTTTAATGATTTTTTTTATTTTTTATAATTTTTTAATATAATTTATATCTAAATATGTAATATAAATTAACAATGATTTATAATAAAGTATATGATTATTATATTTTATTATTATCTTAATTTTTTATAATAATATTATTATTTATTATATCACCCGGTTCGATTGGTCGAACCGTAAACATCTCCTTCCTATTCCATGTCTAGTCCAATTTTCACATTCTTGATTTAATTGAAGATCTATTGCATGCCTCTTCTGCAAAAATAATAAAAAAAATAAATTTAATAAATTTTAGTCTAATCTTAATATTAACAAATATTTAATCTTAAATGCTTAAACATATTTTTCAAATGTTTCTCGGCACTCCCCACCGTGGGCTTGGGCAGCTCTATTGGGCCGACCAACTAGACTTGTGTAACAGACCAACCCGTGCAGACCACCGGCCACAGCCCAGCCAACAAATTTCCCAATGCGGGACCTACCGACGTGACAGTGGGCTCTCACCCACCGACGCAACTATCATTAGTGTTGGCGTTCCGTCGCTATCTGCACTCATTATTATTATTATTATTATTAAATTAAAGAAATATTCACTATCCACCTTGTGAAACTTTTCTTTACTGAACTCATCGAATCTGAACAAATGGCCCAAATTTTCCTATTACATTTTGAATTCTTTTATGTAATATGTTTGCAAAAAAGATTGAATTTGCAATTTTGCATGCATTAAATGTTAATACAGAATACTAATCCTATTTAAGCATGCATGCATCAAAGTTAAATTATCATTAAAACCATTGTTTTAAAGTAAAAGTAAATGCTGAAGAACTTTTTCTTTTTTGCATTATTGACTTTTTTTAGCACATTAATTTGATATTTATCATGAAATCTCTTAAATTTTAATTTGAGCATATTAGACTCTAATTTACACCTTACGTTATTTACGGGCTGTTTGGTTATATGAAAAAGAAATGCAATGCAAAATGAATATTAGGGGTGTCAATTTTGGGTCACGGGTCTGATTCGGGACGAACCCGAAAATGACACGATACAATTCGGGTCAATCCGAATCCGACCCGACCTGGGGACACGACAACCCCGTGTGCAAATTCGTCTATCAAAATACTCGGATGTAAAATTTATTATGATGAATTTTAAAGTTCATCTATTTATATTGAGTTAGTGCAATTTTGTATATGATATATATCACTAATGTGATTGTATATATTGAAAGGTTTTTTTATCTTATCATGATATATTTTATATGAAAATATTTTGATATTAGATTATTTCACATGAAAATTAAATTATAACTTAAGGTATTTAGAAGTTCAGCTATGAAAAGTAAAAGAAATTTATCAAATGATGTAAATTTTTAATATTTTTAGATTCAAAATTTATCATAATTTTGTATGTACTTATTTTTTAATCTGCTGAAAAGAAAAAGCGGCCAAGTAAAAACAACTAAAAACATGTATGCTAAATGAGCAATTTTTAGGGGTGTCATTAAATAACATGACTTATATCTTACCTGAAAAACCTGATTCCGAGTTGAGCAGTTTAATAAATGGGTCGGGTTCGGGTCGTGCATTTCAACCTGTTTATTAAACAGGTCGGATTTGGGTTGATCCGCCAATCTGATTTTGACCAGAAAAGGCCCGTTTAATATTTATTCCTTAAATTCTTTCATTTGTTGATATAATCTTCTTATTTATTACCACTTAACTTAAAATATATAGTTAACAAGTTAATAGAAATATTTTTTTAAACTAAAATGGTTTATTGGACTACTAAAAAACCAAGCTTTTGCAGCATTTTTTAGGACCTACAGCAGCGGTTTAAACACATACTAATTTATTTGCAGCGGTTTAATAACCGCTACAAATTCACTGTATTTGTTTTCGCTGGAAAGGCTTTAGCAGCGGTTTTATGAGTGCTGCTGTAGAAAGGCTTTAGCATTTGGGTCGGATTCGTATTT